ATTATCTGACCCCAGGGCAGGTGTAGCACTCACACCCATAATCCCAGCATTGAGTCAAGAATTCATCACAAACTCTAGAAGCTGCCCTAAGGACTGCTCAAGGCTTTGTGGGGACAACTAGACACAAACTCTAACAGCACGGTAGTGAAAGCCTGTAATCCTAGATCTTGGGAGGCTGAAGCCTCAGAATTGCCATGAGTTTGGGGCTGGCCCAAAATTCATAGTGAAACCCTGTCAAAAATACCAAATATAATTTTGGAACAAGATATATACGTATCATGACCAGTGGCATTAAAGCAAAGTAAAGTTGGAAGACTTTAAGACCACCTATAAAACACAGTAATTACACAGTACAGTACTGGTGAAAGAACAGTCGACTAAATGAAAAGACTAGACTAGGAACCCTAGAAACAGACCCATATGAATATAGTCGATTGATCTTCCACAGAAATAAAAGCAATAGAATGATGCAAAAGTGATTTTTTAAACGAAAGATGCTGAAACAAATGTATGTCTGCCTGAAGGAAAAAACAAAAAAGAATCTCACCACAAACCTTACATCCTTCTCAAAAATGAACTGAAATGGATCACAGACCTACATGCAAAATGAAAGTGTATACAATTCCTAGATTACATAAAAGAAAACCTAAATGACATTGGATATGGTGATGACTTTTTAGATGAAACACCAAAGAAATGATTGATTTTAAAAAGTAAACTAGGCCAGCTGGATAGCTCAGTGGATTAAAGCACCTGCTTAGGCAGGTGCAGGGACCAGGATTCGATCCCCAGTGGGCCATGCCAGCCCTGCCCCTGGAATACGCTGAGACAGTGAATGAAACTGGGCATGGTGGGGTGCACCTGTAATCCCAGTGCTTGGGAGGCTGAAAACAGGAGGATCACTATGAGTCCAATCTACATGACGAGACCCTGTAGGCCCTGTACTAAAGACAGTAAAAAAAATTATGAATAAAATAATAAATTAAAAAGTAAAGCTGAGCATGGTGGAGAACACCTGTAGTCCCAGAACGCTCAGGAGGCTGAGGCAGGATGATCCCTGAAAGTTCAAGGCCAGCCTGAATACAGAGTGAGCTCAAAGCCTAAACTACATAGCAAGACCCTGCCTCAAAAACAAATAAAATTGATAATTTAGACTTAATTAAAATATAAGAACTTCCATGTGAAAGACACTGCAACGGGAATGAGAAGATAAGCTGAAAAGTGGTAGAAACTATTTGCAAAAGATATACTTGATCCAAAATATACAAAGAGCTTTTAAAATGCAACAATAAGGTGAATGACCAATTTAAAAATTGGGCAAAAGGCCTGGGCAGACACCTTCCCAAAGGATATATATAAAGCAAATAAGTGCATGCCAAGGCATTCAAGGTCATGTGTCACTGGGGAATGGAAAACTAAAGCAATGACAAGGAGCTACCATGTACCTTTGTAATGGATGAAGTGCAAGGCATTGTCCACACTGAAAACTGCCAGGAAAGTGAATGGCAGCCACTGCCACTTACCAACCGAGGCATATTCCTATTGCCTGTTCTGGGACTTGTGTTCCTTGGTAGTTACCCAGCTGGATTAAAAATTCATGTCCTCACAAAACCCATGGTTGTCATCTCAGCTGTCAAAACTTGGAAGCGCTCGAGATGTCTTTCAGTAAGTGGGTGGATAAACCACATTGCATCCAGACAAAGGGGTATCGTTCAGAGCTAAAGGGCGATGAGATGCTGAGTCATGAAAATTCATGGAGGAAATCTGACAATGTGTATTACTAAGCACAAGAGGCCAGCCTTTTGGAAAATGTATACAGTGGCCAATTCCAACTGTAGGGCATTCTGGAAAAGGCAAAGCTACAGAAATAATAAAAGATTAAAGGTTATCAGAGGCCATGGGGGGGGGTTGAACAGACAGAACACAGAGAAATTTTAGGGCAATGTTACTGTTCTGCATGATACCTCAATGGAAATAAGCTGTCATTGCATATTTATCAAAAGCTGCAGAATGCACACCAGGAGTGAAACCTGTAGACTAAGGACTTCAGGTGCTAAGGATTTGCCGCTGTAACAAGTGAGAACCCCTCAGTGTGAGACGCCAGTAGAAACTGCAGATGAAGAGAGGAGGGGTACATGGAAATTTTGTAGGCAAGATCTCAAATGAGCAAGCCATGGGAGAGGAATTGGTGAATTTGACTAGGTGAAAGCTATTTCCATTAAATGGAGAATTACAAAGACATATATTTTGGTAAGAGAATTGTTATGATTTTTGTGTATTTGTTCCCCCAAAGCCTCATGCAGTCATGGAGTTCTGGAGTTTGTGATTAATTCATAGTCCAGGGCTGGGATTATGGGTCTGAGTACTGCTGGGATTATGTGTGTTAGTGCTACACCCAGCCTGGGGCAGATAGCCTGAATGCAATATAGGGGGGATGGACTTGCTCTCTGCAGCCGTTGTTGCTGCTACTCCTCCCTCTTACTCTTGATCTTTGCCACCACCATGAACTGCTGCCCTCTGCCATGTGCCGCTCTGCCTTGGAGCCAGCTGAGTATGGACTGAAACCTTCAGTAACTGTGAGCTAAATTAACCTTTTCTTCCTTCATTTTGGGTGTCAGGTATTTGTCCCAGCAACGAGAGAAGAGTAACTGAGACAAGAAGCTATTATAATGGCTAAGAAGATATTTGTAGATAATGAGATATTTGTATCTAGAAAATTCTAGAAATCAGCAAAAGGACACAAGAGTTACTAGCAAAAATTCTCAGGAAGTGCTTCCTAAAGGAAAATTATTAAATGATGCTCAAGTTAGCTGCATTAGTTTTACAACAAAAAGTTACTACTTTATGACTGTCAGACAGGAAACTCTTAGAAAGTTTAGTAATAGCAAGTGCTGGTAAGGATATGGGGAAACTGGGAATATTTGTACATAACTAAGACCCATTCTTCAGAGTAACCTGGCAGTATTTTGTGAAATTAATATGACTATGCCCATAACCAAACAAACCAGCAGTCCTGCCACATGGTTTGCATTGCTGAAGAACTCGGATCACGAGTTCAGCATGATGTTCTTCATTTGTAGCAATATTTGCAGAGACAAACAGCTGAAATGCCTGTCACTGGAAGAAAGGATGCACAAAATATTGTCCATGCATCTCAGGGGATATTAGCCATCAAACAACATGTTATAGTCACATATGGTAACGCTGACATAACTCAAACTTAGTTGAATGAAAGAAATACTAAAACACAAATTCTATACGATTAAATGTATATGTGTGTATATGTATGTATAATATAAATTTAAAAGGACATTTTGAATATTTAGGTGTAGGCACTAGAGAAAAATGAGACTAGTATTAAAAAATACCAAAAAAATGGGCTGGTGAGATAGCTCAGTGGATTAAAGCACCTGTAAGCAGGCACAGGGACTAGGGGTTTGATTCCTGGGCCTGCCATGCTGGTCACACCCCCAGAGCATGCTGAGATGGAGACTGAGACTGGGCATGGTGGCACGTGCCTGTAATCCCAGCACTTGGGAGGCTGTAAACAGGAGAATCACTGAGCCTGATCTAGTAGTGAGACCCTGAATACCCAGTAGACCCTTCCCTAAAATCCAAAAAAAAAAAGATATAGCTCAGCAGAGTAAAGCATCTGTTTAGGCAAGCTTAGGCAAGCGCAGGGTCTGTGGTTCAATCTCTGGTACCACATGCTGTGCCAGCCCTGCCCTCAGGGCAAACTGAGCCAGCCAGAGTCAGGACGTAAAGGTACCCACCTGTAATCCCAGTGCTAGGGAGGCTGAAAGCAGAGAGATCACCATGAATCTGAACTGCGTAGTGAGACCCTGCAAAAACCAAATACATACATACAAAGCAAAACAAATACAAAAAATGTACTAAAAATGGCCTTTGCTTTTGTCCGATGAAATTATATGATAAACTAAGGTGTTTCAGTGACCTTGCTCTGTTTTCCCTTTCATTTAAGATTAAAAGGAATTTTTCAAGTAAAATATATGACGATTTTATTTGAAAACTAGTAATTCAGGTGAAGTACATAGCTTAGTGTCTCGCGCACGCTGTGGTAAATTCAATAAGCTCTATCTGTTAATACTAATGGCATGGCTAGTACAAATCCATCAGAGTTGGTCCTTAAAACCGATTAGATGTAAATAGCTTCTCCCCCTCCCCAAGACCCCCATGTATTAAGGCAGAAGAGCTGAAAGCACCTTGCAGGATGGAAACAGCTTCCTTATTGTTTGTAGCATCCTAGAAAGTGGTGATGATTAATTTAGAAATCTATATAATGCATAGAAAGTAGAGACTTCACTCATAAAAAGTATCATGAAGCTAGGAGGCTTTATACTTTGCTACACTTCCTCCAAAGGGCATTTTCTTTTAATGTTGGGGGCCTGGCCCTAGCTCAGTTCTGTAAGTGGCTGCTTCCACAAAGCTGTCAGCCTCAGGTTGCTGGAGTTCAATCCCCACAACTCCAGCCAGCCAAACCTGCCCTGAAGGCATTCGGAGAAAAAAAAAAAAAATCTTTTAGTGTTTTAATTTAAAGCTGTAAAATTGCAGTGGAATAGAGTCCATCTATATAGTGTTTGCTGTGGGACCTCCCCCTCCCCTCCCCCTCCCCCTCCCCTTTTTGCACCCTTTGCACCCTTCCCTCTTCCCCTCCCCCTTCCCCTCCCCTCCTCCTGAAGTAGGATTCAGGGTGGAATGTTGAAATGAGCAACATCATGGGGGGGGGCAGCCCCTCTAAGTACTGACAAGAGCTCTCCCAGGAGCACAGATATGCTCAATCCTTGTACTCACATTATGTTCATTCAACAAACATTGACTGGGAATCTCTGCCAGAGACTATTCTAGGGCCTGGGATATAGAGCTGCTGATGCAAAATAATAGATTTTAAAAAAAATTAAGGAAGTGTCAAACCAGAAGCTAGAGCCCTCTCAAAGTGACATTGTGCTTTAATGTGCTTATTTTCCTCTGGTTTTTCATAGATCATAGATGAAGAAGAAACTCAGTTTATGAGTAACTGCCCCGTGGCAGTCACAGAAAGCACCCCGCGGAGGAGAACACGGATCCAGGTGTTCTGGGTCGCCCCACCAGCAGGAACAGGCTGTGTGATTCTAAAGTAAGTGAACAAAGCTCCTTGTAGCACTTTCTGCTCCTTCTCTGAAGTTTATCAAAGGCTTCATGGTGTGGCTGCGGAAAGAGGTACAGCTTTGCTAGGGCATTAGCCAAGTGGCATCATCTGCTCGTCTTCCGTTACCTCAGTTCCAAAATGGCACCGGGGACTGCAACTGGTAGAATGCTACATAAAGAATCATTTGCCTGAGTTTATTTACATGAAATAGTATGATACTCCTGATCATTCCTTCTCTCTCTTGCTGGAGAGAGTGACGGCATGGACAGTGGAGAGAAATTACCAACCAAGTAGAAGTAATCTTTAACCTTTCCACCAGAAATAACATTTTGGCCTTGAAACCACCAACAGCTAGAAACCTCACTCTGTTCTTAGGCTGACACGAGGCTCCCCTGTCATCTCTCTTAACCAGAGGCTCTGCTTGGTGCCCCCCCCCCTTCTTCCTGGCCATCAAGGTTGCCCTCTATAGCTACTTCCACTTGCCCTCCCAACCCTACTCTTGGTGAGTTACAAGAGGTTAACCAGATGAAACAGTTTTCCTTTGAAAGGTAACGTCTCTAAGCCATGTCTGTACAATTTTCTGCTGCAAAATGTTGGCTGAGATGTAAACAGATAAGCAGGAAAACAATTTCTTTGGTCAAATAAGTGCATCCATTGTTGCCTACTGGATCTCCTTCTTGTACATTCATAACACTGGCTGTATAGTACATTGAATGTTTTGTGAAGTCTTTAACAAAAAGTCCATTTAACTTGATTTCACCAGCATCTCCCAAACTTAATTTGACCATCAATCTCCTTTGCTTTTTTCTTTTTGTGGTGACATCAATTAACATTCACCAGATTGAGAAACACAGCCATAATCTATTTTAAGTAGATTTAAAGACCTATAGGGAACAGGGCTGAGAACTGCAGGCTCTCAAATAGGCATAGAATCATGATTAGATGGCAGGATGCCAATCCTAGCATCCACCAAGTCATTTCTTCAAGGAAGTGAGAGCTGGGACCTTCTTTGAATACCCTAAAGCTTTGTATATGTATTTGGTTCATCTGCCAAAGGCAGATGTCTCAACACACTTAAAACTGTGGTCAATCCAGCTCACCCCTGCAGAGATGCTGATAAGAGAATTTCGCAGCATGGCAGTCAGGCCCTGGAGTTCCTAGAAACTGCAAGGAGGAAAGCCTCACAGAGGTTTCCATCAGTGTCTGTCCATTGTCCAGACGCTGCTCTGTGTTTTGTCTGGCCTCTTTGCTGTCATCTGTCTGGATAGCATTGGTTTTTCTCTTTGTTTAATGCAAACTGAGCATCTTGCCTCAGATTCTTTGCAAAGTTTGATTTTTGGCATTAATCTGTGTTGCTGATTTTTATAAAAACAGAATTGTTTTAACATCTTATCAGTAAACTGTAATATAAAACATGCACCTAGGGCTGGGGAGATAGCTCAGTAGTCTAAGCACCTGCCTTGTTCCGAGCCCCAGTATCACATGCCATGTCGCCTCCATCCCCAGTGCGCATGCTGGCCACCAAGACCGGGCATGATGGCACATGCCTGTAATTGCAGCTCTGAAGAGGCTGAAACAGAAGGACACCGAGTCTGAGATGTGCAGTGAGACTCTGTACCAAATACATAAATAAAAAATTTTAAAATAATAAAAATAAAACATGTATCTAATAGTGGGTTACTGTGTCGAGGAAGGCCTTGGGGTCAAGAACAAAGATTACTGGTAACAGAAGCAGTGCATTCAGAGTTTGCTACATAGCCAGGGAATCTTCTGCATTTGCATGCAGGGGATGGGAAAGCCTTGTAAGTGACGGAAAGAGAAGGCTTTAGGTCTGTGCAGTGCGAAGTTGTTGGAGGGCGGAAGCTGGAAGCAGATGAATAAGTGGCATGTTTCGTGTGATGAGTATGCGAGATGTGTTTGACTTTGCTGAGTTCAAAGTGATGGGGGCAGACAGAGAAAAGGTGGCAGTCATGGGTGATTCCTGATGTTCCATGGTGATTTCTGCAGAGGCTTGGGACTTGGCCACCGCCTGGTAGTATACTGTCCCAGCTGGAGGCTGGGTTTGGCTCCCCAGAACCCAGACCCTCAGCCCTGCATAGGCCAACCACCCACCACATGTGGGCTCTAAGGAAAGTACTTTGCAAACTGACCCATATCTCTGGTTTTCTTTGATTTATTATTCTCCCAAACCAGGATAATTCAATCTCCCTGGTAGAATCCAAAAAGGCATCTCTTGTTTACCCACTAACAATCAACATATGTGAACATATATTTATTCATTAATTATTAACATATGTGGCTTGTTCATTTATTCATTCTACAGATGAAACTGAGCTTGCCTTTACCCAGACATCTGAGATATGCAGCTGGCCTAAATATGTTTTTAGCACTGGAATATTCACAGGTCAAATGGAAGAGAGAGGAAGAAACTAGCCAATATTTTATATGTACCAGAGCTCAGATACCCATTTACTGACTTTGTCTAATCTGTCTAATCTTCAAACCAAATTTAAACTTCATTTACAGAGCAGAAGATGGGCCCAGAGAACTAGGCAGATATTTGAAGTCAAACATACATTTAAGTCTAAAGTCTTTGTTCTTCCTTTCTTTTTTCTGAAGGAATTATATAGAAACTACTGCTATTCGTTAAGACAATAATGATTTTACAAATAAGACAAATATGCACTGTAAAATGCTAACTACAAAAAATCATGGAATATAGAAAAATGTAAAATACAAAAAAAAGTTTTAAAAAATTCCTGATAATTTCTCCAATAAATCCCAGTTTCCTGTCCAAAGAAAACAACAGATAGCAATTTGTGCTGTAAGCTTTAAACTTATATCCATGCATTTATAGTCATAAGGAGAAACATTAAAATGATGGCTTCATTTTTGTGAGAATTTAAGAATGCATGTAGTGTTGTGGCATACATGATGTCCCAAGCTTGAACAGTCATTCACTCAAACATTTTAGAGATTTGTCCAGATCATTATGTGTGCATCTCTCTGGGGCTTTTGATTCCTTATTATTATTATTATTTTTGTTTTTATTTTTTGGTGGAACTGGGGATTGAACTCAGGCCCTTGCACTTCTCAGGCAAGCACTTATTCTACTGAGCTATCTCCCCGGCCCCCTTCCCTGGGTTTTTTAAGCTATTGAATATAACTTGTAGTATGAATGTCAAGTGTTTCAAAGTTAATGGGCAATTAAACTATTGCCAGTTTTTACTATTACAAATAATAAGCATACTAGTCTACTTATGTTTGAGCAAATGTGTAAGTTTTATCCACAATAGATTCCCACAAAAGCGATCTTAAGGGACACATATTTATTATTTTTAATAGCCACCACCAGGTTTTCCTTCAGAAGGCTTTCCAACTTAAACAGTCTCCCTAGCTACGAACAAAAAAGCCTACGTGCCCCCTGATTCAACAGCTTGTTGTGTTCCCAAGCTAGAAGACTCTGCTGACCTGATAGTTTAAAATGATTATCTTACGTTTACTGACATTTTCCTGTTTACCAGTACATTATGCATCCTTTCACATAGAGTTTATTTCATTTGTATTAGTCCCTCTGTAAATGGCCCTGTTAACACTCTTATGCATTTTTCTAATGTATCTTTTTAAAACTGATTTTATGTTTCAAAAATATAAATACTGATATATTTAAACATGAATTGTACTTTATATATATGTTTAAACTTATAAAATTTAAAATATCACTTTATTTAAAATAAATTCATATTTAAAATTCATCTCTGTAAAGTCCAGATAACATTTTATTATGAATTTTAAATATATCTTTCCACCTTTCTATTAACTTGCATTGTGAGTGTCTAATCATCCAAAAATTTGAAGTTTTTATTTAACCAAATATGTGCATTTTTTGCCTTGTGGATTTTGGTCTTATATGTGGATCACAGATTATTTTCCTGCACCCAAGGCTGTAACCATACTCCTTTATGTTTAAGATTTTACAAAACGAATCTAGAGTCTTTAATCATCCTAGAATTTAATTTTGTGAATGCTGTGGTACCAGTAAGCCACAAGAGGAAATAGATGGCCTGCTCAAAGTGTGGTACCCAAGTAGAGTTGACTAAGGGGTTCTGTTGACTATGGAGTGGGCAAATTAATGGCGTGCTGTGTGCCACCCAGGCCTGCAGTGGCACCAAGAGGAACGAGAGAGTGAAGACCACTCTCTCCCAGGAGCCAAGATTTTAGGAGTAGGGAAGCAGCTGCCCTGAGGACCCAGGCCTCCCACTTTCACTGTTTTCCTTGGATTCTCCCTTTTGGCCTGGCCCCAAGCATGCAGTCCCTGGCGTCCATGATGTCCGTGTGCAGTCTCCGCTCAGGCAAAGACTGGATACAAATGGGTAAGCAGGTATTGAGAGGAGCAAAGCAAAGGCAACAGTGCCAGTGGGAAGCAGGAATCTATCTCCTTTCCAAAAATGGATAGTTGTTCTACATCTATTTATTGAATAGTTTATGCTTTTTCCAACTGCTTGAAATGCTGTTTTATTAAATACAGTTTGTATGAGTGTGTAGGGTTCTTGAATTGAACTTAGGGCCTTAGCCCTATTTTAGTTTTTTATTTTGAGACTATGTCTCACTAAGTTGCACAGATTGAACTGAAATTTTTGCAGTCTTCCGTGCCTCAGCCTCCCAGAGTGCTGGGGTTTGGGGAATGTACCACAAATAAAAAATTTTCACACAGCTCTGTTCTATTCTGTTCATCTTTGTGTCCCTTCCTCCACAATGTCTGCACCACTTACTAGCATAATTTTATGTTTTTCTAACTCATCGTCACTCAATCTTCAATTTAAAATGTCCTTGATCATTTAAGCAGATTCAAATTCTAGGTAAATCAAAGAATAAGTTTCTTGTATTCAATTAAACCCTAGATTGGGATTTTGAATGAGGTTACAGTGAATTAATAATTTAATATAGGAAAAATCAGTTTATGTATCATATGTATTTCCAATCATAAG